GGAACTCAGACTAGATGTCACAGGCTCAATGGAGTCAGTCTTTTTGAAGAATGCCATCAAGAAAATGGCATTTGAGAGGTACCCAGGTGGCTCAGTTGGTTAAGTAGCTGACTCTTGATTTTTGGCTCAGGTCATGATCTCACCATTCATGGGATTGAACCCCACGTGTTTGGGATTCTCCCTTTCCTTCTCTCTGCCCTTACCACCCCCTCTCATAAATAAGTATTTGTAAAAAAGAAAATGGCATTTGAGAAAACTCAGGAGAAAAACTAGAGGCACAAAGGGACCTGGGAAAATATTACATAAATCTATTTAAAAAGTGAAATGGAGGGGCGTCTGGGTGGCTCAGTCAGTTAAGTGTCTGTTCAGCTCTGATCATGGTCTCAAAGTTCATGAGTTCAAGCCCCGCATTGGGCTCACTGCTGTCAGCGAGGAGACCACTTTAGATCCTCTGTCCCCCTGTCTCTGCCCCTCCCCTGCTCGCACTCTCTCCAACATTTTTTTTTTTAATAATAAAAAAATAAAATAAGATAAAAAGTGAAATGGGGATACTGACTCTCAATCTTGGCTCAGGTCATGATCTCACAGTTTATGAGATTGAGCCCCATATCAGGCTCCGAGCTATCAGCACTAATCTCACTTGGGATTCTCTGTCTCCCTCTCTCTCTGCCCCTCCCCTGCTCGCTCTCTCTCTCTCTCTCTCTCAAAATAAACAAACATATATATTTTTCAAAGTGAAATGGGAGGCACCTGGGTGGCTCAGTCAGTTGAGCATCTGACTTTGGCTTGGGATATGATCTCAGTTTGTGGGTTGAAGCTCTGCATGGGGCTTCTTGCTATCAGCACGGACCCCACTTTAGATCTTCTATTCCCCCCTCTCTCTGTCCCTCCCCTGCTCATGCTCTGTCTCTCTCTCTCTCTAAAATAAAGAAAACATTTTTAAAAAGTAAAATGGAATTGGCTATTACTAGCCTGTAAATTTCTTTCCTTGAAACATTATTTTGTACATTTTTTTAGTGAGAGCTATATGACCATTATTTCACATGTGCAATGCTTTGAAATATTGTATAACACATCACATCTGTTACTGTGAAGGCTGTTTATCCTTATTTTAATTCTGTCCTTACCTTAGACTGAAACCACTTCATACATGAGATATAAGTCTGGATCTAGTAGTTCTCAAATTATGTTCCAGGAAAGAGTGCCATCAGCATTGAGTGTGCACTTGTTAAAAATTCAAATCTTCACATGCTATCCTAGACCTACTGAGTTAGAAACTAGGGATGGAATCCACCAATCTGGGTTTTCAGTCTTCTTGCTGGTTCTAAAGCACTCTATAGTTTGAGAACCATGGCCTCAGGCATTTCAGAACTAGATGTCTTTAGAGTCTGTTTAGGAAAAAAATACTGTTCTGTTTTCTGTCTATTCACAGTCCTATTCTCATTTCTGATTACCAATGTGTGGTAGTTTTTTTCCTATACCAAACAATTGTGTGACACCAGCTGAGTGAGAACAATTTAACTCAGTTCTTATACTACCTGGAAATAGTTTAGACCCCACAGGTTAAGAGCTCAGCCCCACAAGACTAAGCACTGCAGACACTAAGCAACTTAAGACACCAATCACAAGTTCAAGTTGTCACCTGTACATTTGACCGACCAGCTATATGTCAGAGATTCATATAACCCCCTCCTGGGATTTGGGGAATTTGCTAGAGCAGCTCATAGACCTGAGGAAAACAGTTTACCTACTAGACTACCAGTTTATTATAAGAGGATATAACTTGGGAACAGCCAGATGGAAGAGATGCATACATAGGGCAAAGTATGGGGAAAGGGGCACAGAGCTTCCATGATCTCTCTGGCTTGACACCCACTCAGCACCTCCACATGTCTACCAACCTGGAAGCTCTCCAAATCCATCCTTTTTGGGTTTTTATGCAGGCTTCATTAAGAATGCATGTTTGATTAAATCATTGGCCATTGAGTCAACCTGTAGTTCCTCTCCCCTCACCAGAGGTCAGAGTGGGGTGGGACTGAAAGTTCCAACCCTCTAATCACACAGTTGGTTCCCCTGGCAACCAGCCCCCAGTATCCTTAGGGACTTTCCAAAAGTCATTGTATTAATATAAATTCAGATGTGGTTGAAAGGGGCTTGTTATGAATAACAAAAGACATCCATTTCATTCTGGAGCTATTTCAGAAGCTGAGAAAGAGAGATGCCCCTATAACTCTTATCACTTAAGAAATTACAAAGGTTTTAGGAGTTACTTGCCAGGAACCAGGGAGGAGGACCAAATATATATTTCTTAATATAAACCATAAGATCACAGAGCTCCAGGAGAGAGCTGTATTATAGGCCAGGGAGGCAGCATGGTGGTTTTGTCTGTTCAGGCTGCTATAACAAAATACCACAGAGCAGTGCTTCTAAAAAACAGAAATTTCTTCTTTCTTTTTTTCCTTCTTTCCTCCCTTCCTCCCTTCCTTCCTTCTTTCCTTCCTATTTAAGTAATCTCTACACCCAAAGCAGGGCTGGAACTCACAACCCTGAGGATCAAGAGTCCCATATTCTTCCAACTGAGCCAGCCAGGTGCCCCCAGAAATTTATTTCTCACAGTTCTGCAGGCTGGAAAGTCCAAGATCAAGGCAGTGGCCAATCTGGTGTCTGGTGAGAACACATTTCTTCATAGACCCCACCTTCTCACTAATCTCACTTGGCAGAAGGGATGATGGATCTCTCAGGAGCCTCTTTTCTAAGAGTACTAATCCCATTGAGGGTTCCATTCTCATGACCTAATTACTTCCCAAAGGCCCCACCTCCAAACATCATCACACTGGGGATGAGGATTCAACACATAAATTTTAGGAGGACACAATCATGCAGTCCAGTAATGGTCAACCAGAAACAGTGGGGGTTTTACAGCTAGTCAGACGTGGAATCAAACTGCGGCTCCAGCACTCGTCAGCTGGGTAGGGTTTTGAGCGAGTTGCCCAATCTCTCGGAACTTCAGGTTCCTTATTTTAAAAATGGAAAGAATAATGCCTACCTTGAAAGGTTACTATGAACACTATGAAGTTTATGTGCCTACATGGTAATCAGGAATGCTGGCTCTGGCATCAGGCCCAGTTTAAATGCCAGCTTTTCTCCTTACAGAGTGTTCTTGGACAAATTACTAATCCTCTCTGTGCTTCAATTTTCTTATCTGTAAAGTGAGTTATGCTATACTTGCCTTACAGGGTTGTTGTGAGGGTTTAATGAGTTAATATGTATCAATTGCTTAGAAGACTACCTGCCACATAATTGCTCAATAATTACCTGTTTGTAAGACTAGAAATGCAAATAAAAACAATGATAATAATAAAATATTACATGTACATAAAACACCTAGGCCTAGAGTTTGCTAAGTATTCAATATAATTATTACTGTCATTACAACATTCTTTCTTATAAAGCATAGCGTTATAAGAGGTTCCAGTACATGGGCAGCCCTTGACACTTTCATACATTCTTTATATTCTAATGTCTTTCCTCCTGTCTGAATAAGCTCTGTGTATTGTATTAATATCGATCTCCTAGTTTTGATAGTGTATAATAGTTATACAAGATGCTACCAATAGACGGGGGGCTGAGTGAAGGGTATATAGGACCTCCTTGTACATTTTTTTTAACTCCTGTGAATCTGTAATTATTTAGAAATTAAAAAGTGAAAAAAAAATAGGGGTAGGGAGTTTACCTAAAGTGAGAAGTGTTGGGGCAAGAGGTTGGGCACCTCATCCACCCCCAGTTCCTTATTTATCAGTCCCTAGAATCCTAACCTTCCTCTTTACCAATGTGGGCTACTGGAAGCCAGGGGAGTCTGGTGAGAGCTAGGCCAGGCTCCCATAATATCAGGTAAGGTATGAACTTGGAGAATGTCTGATGCATGGAATTCTAGTGTAAGGAACACTGTAATCCCTGTAACTTCATTACCTAACACAGTTCCTTGTGCACAAAGGCAAAGACAAAAAGATGTGCTCTTCTGGATCAAAATTGTAAATCCAAATATTTTCCTCATAGGAATATTGCCACATAATGTGATTAGGTTCTGTGATGTTCACATAAGTACTTTATAGATTAAATAAATAGGCCTTTGTGGGGGCTCCTGGGTGGCCCAGTCGGTTGGGTGTCAGACTCTTGATTTCAGCTCAGGTCATGATCTCACAGTCATGAACTCGAGCCCCACACTGGGCTCTGCTGACAGTGCAGAGCCTGCTTGGGATTCTCTCTCCTCCTCCTCCTCCTCCTTTTCCTCCTTCTGCCCTTCTCTGCCTCTCTAGATAAATAAATAAACTTAAAAAAAAAAAAAAAAGCCTTTGTGGACTAACCTGGACACCTACCCACTAATTGTGACTATGTTCTATGGACATATTTCAAAGAACTAATCTTCAAGCAAACTTCTGAAACACTACCAATTTGTAAGTTATTATACTTAGTTGATGCTATTAACACAAAATTTTTAAATTGAGTGATAATGATCATTCTAGGCTCACTGATTTCAAGTTTCCAAACAGTGTTCTGCTTAACACTAATGTCTTAAAGTTCCCACTGCCACCCACTCTCTAAGTTCCTAAAATTGTTAGACCAAGAAACTTTTTTTAAACAAACATTTACTAAGTTTGGGGAGTTCCAAAAACTCTGTTTGAGAAACACTTCTATATCACATGATCAATCTTCCTGACTATTTGGCTTCTTAAATGGCTGTAGTAGTTATTTTTTAAAAATTAAAAACATATTTTAGGCCCAAATAAAAAAGCTTTAGGTAATCTAACCATGTTTGCTTAGTAGCAATACAAATAGATATCCACTAGTCATCAATGACTTATACACATATTAATTATAAGTTTCCTCCAATTAATTAGTAAAAAATAAACTTAAAAACTAAGTTAAAGAAAAACTATGTGGTTCATTTCTCTCAATCAAATTAACACCAACAGCTAGCTTTTTAATTCATCATCTCTTACCATTCAGGAACTTCAGTCCAAGTAAAGAGGTAGTTTTTTGCTTATTTGCTTGTTTTTTCCTAAGCTCCTTAAGTTGTAAGTCAGAAAAGTCTTGGCAATAAAGAGGAATGAATGAAGTCTCCCAATTCTTGATGAACTATGTTTTCCTAAGAAAATTAAGGTATATTACCAAAGGTCCAGTGTTTGTCTTTCAAAAAAAGAACGAGTCTAACTATAAAAAACACAAATTACATTTTAGTTAAGATTTAGCAACAGGGGCATCTGGGTGGCTCAGTCAGTTGAGTGTGAGACTCTTGATTTTGGCTCAGATCAAGATCCCAGGGTTGTGGGATGGAGCCCTGTGTTGCACTCTGTGCTGAGCATGGAGCCTTCTTAAGATTCTTTCTCTCTCTCCCTCTCTCTTTCTCTCTCGCTCCCTCTCTCCCCAGCTCACACACTCTCTCAAATCTAAAAAAAACCTGATTAAAAAAATTTAGCAATATATATAATTGCTTCCTGTTTCAGCAAATACTACCCAGTACATAATTGTATGTACCCAGTACATAACCCAGTATATAATTCCACAAACAGAAACCATAAGATCCATATTATAAAGAAACACTCTGCTAACTTCAATTTAATGTATGTATCATGAGAATACTCCAAACTTCTTAAATGAAAGAATTATCAATTATAATTCTTTTTTTTTTTTTCAACGTTTTTTATTTATTTTTGGGACAGAGAGAAACAGAGCATGAACGGGGGAGGGGCAGAGAGAGAGGGAGACACAGAATCGGAAACAGGCTCCAGGCTCTGAGCCATCAGCCCAGAGCCTGACGCGGGGCTCGAACTCCCGGACCGCGAGATCGTGACCTGGCTGAAGTCAGATGCTTAACCGACTGCGCCACCCAGGCGCCCCTATAATTCTTTTTAAAATTACATTTGATCAACTAAAACTTGTGTAAAGCTTCACAAATCCTTTCACAAATCTCTGCTGCAGAACAAAGAAAGTTTTTTATTCTGAAAGTGACTAAGGAGAATTTCATGATACATTCATGCTCTATAATATTTTAGACTTTTTTACACTAAAGTAGTAACAAGTCAAGATATGAAGTTAGCAGACATTAAATATCCTATTTAAAAACAGGTGTTATATATTATATATAAGTTTTGTAGTTTGATTATGACTATATTTCATATACACAAAAACATTTGTGAAACAGTCTGTTGAAATTGTATTAATGGCTGCATATACTTCCTTAATTCAGCAAATTAAATTTCTGAAATCTCCTAACTACAGTTAGAGCTACCATATCTTGCCAATTAGGTTGCCAATCTGCATTTAAGAACTATTACCAACTCTTGGAGGAACTTCTTTACCCGTCTGATGAATTGTGTGTATTCTATTTAGGAAGGGCTGGAAGTACAGAACAGGTAGTTATAATTTCAAATGAAAAATTTAGGCCATCAAACAGACTACCTAAGCATTATAATTAAGGATAATTGTTCCTCTTACCAAAGTGTGTCACAACTATTTTTAAACATGTTGGGGGGTCTGTTCTGAAACCTATGTCTGATCTACTCCCTAAGCTTTATCCCTGGAAGAAGCAGATACCAAATTAAGAATTCTTAGGAAGGACCCAGTATAAATTAAAAGCAATAACAACTCAATCCACATTCTTTTTTAAAAAAATATTTCATTTATTTGAGAGAGAGAAAAAGAGAGAGAGGGCACGGGCCAGTGGGGGATGGAGAGAGAGAGAGAGAATCGCAAGCCAGCTAGGTGCTCTCAGCCTGACACAGGGCTCAATCTCACAAACTGTGAGATCATGACCTGAAGCAAAATCAAGAGTGGGATGCTTAACCAACTTAGCCATCCAGGCACCTCTCAATCCACATTCTTTTTTTTTTTTTCAAGTTTCTTTATTTATTTTGAAATAGAGTGAGTGGGGGAGGGGCAGAGAGAGAGAGAGAGAGAGAGAGAGAGAGAGAGAGAGAGAGAGATACTGATAGTGCAGAGCCTGATGCAGGGCTCAAAGAACCAGGAGATCATGACCTGAGATCAAATTGAGCACTTAACCAACAGAGCCACCCAGACGACCCTCAATCCATTTCTTAATCAAGAAGTGTTAGCTTGTTTTTTAACTTATGGAATATACATTCAAAGAAACTTAGATTCAAGTCCTCTATTTGTCAAAGTCACTGAGGGCATACTATGTGCCAAGCACTACTAGTTTCTGAATACATGATAGAGAACAAAACACATTCGTTCCTTGACTTCGGAGACATGCCAAAGACCTCCGAAAGACATTAAATAATAATAATAGAAACTAAATCACTTTGTGGTTATTCCCTATTTGTACTGCCTCTTTTACAGTGGGTAACTGTGGTCACACCCTTCTCTTAGGAGTATTCTGCAAAGAGTTTTGCGAAGTTGTTTAACTACCGGAGACAATCAGTTGTAGCTGCGAGAAATAAAGACATAGAATGATAGACGATTTCATAAACTTTATCTTGAAAGCTATCATGGAATTTATTCCAAGAAGTACAAAATATTCATCTATACATGCATATTGACAAGATAACTTCTATTCATAGCGTGGGAATTCACCAGCAGGTTTTCTAGAATCCTGCTCATGACAAAAATCCATAATGGTGACACACACATATATTCCAGCTTTTCAACTAACCTTATTTTGAAAACACCAGTGCTCCAGTGTGCAATGTTACTTCAATTAAATTATTCTTTGGTGAATAAGGATCTATGAACTTCATTTATATTTTAAGATCGGCAATGAACTTACATTCAAGTTAACCTTCAGGGTGAATTATTTCCAGGTACAGCTTCTGTTTGCCTAGGCGGTTGAAAGTATACAAAGTACTGAGAACTTTGCAAGTATTATTCTCATTTTAAAGGTTTTATCTCGGGGCGCCTGGGTGGCGCAGTCGGTTAAGCGTCCGACTTCAGCCAGGTCACGATCTCGCGGTCCGGGAGTTCGAGCCCCGCGTCGGGCTCTGGGCTGATGGCTCGGAGCCTGGAGCCTGTTTCCGATTCTGTGTCTCCCTCTCTCTCTGCCCCTCCCCCGTTCATGCTCTGTCTCTCTCTGTCCCAAAAATAAATAAACGTTGAAAAAAAAAATTAAAAAAAAAAATAAAGGTTTTATCTCTCAGTACGTTGTTCTACTCATATATATACATATACATATATATATGTACATTAGTAAAGAAGTAGGAGGGAAGGAGGCGGGCGAGGAGTAAAAGTTCTCGAAAGAAATCCCCATACCTTGCCAAATTTAAACGCGCCCAAAACTCCTACACCGCCCCCTTTCCTTCCGACCTGAGTTGCTTGCTGCTGCCTACTTCGTTTCCCTGCACATTTGAGGCGCTATTCGTTGGTAAACGTATTTTTAAACCATTTCCTTCTCCCATCTTCTTAAGCATTTGAATACGTTCCTTTGTAGTTTGTGTTATTTCTGCCTATAGTAATAACATTCCTGATAGAAATGTATTTCTTTGGGAATTCATTTCATTTCTCAACAGTTACAACACTATATTATGTCAGGTGCCACAATCCCCGTCTTCCAGAAGTTAGTACTTTGTGGCCAAGTAGCTTCTTAAACTTTCTAAAACGAAATACCTAAGAGGCGGTACCATCACCGTATCATCTGCGCTTCCAAGTTCCTACCTGTTGCGGGGACTTGGTCTGAAGAGATGAATCAGATTTGTCAAATGCATCCTTTCCCTTTTCCACCCACTGCCTTTCTCGCTTTCCGCTGCGACTCCCGAACGCACGTCACCCCTGCCGGTACAAACCCCTGCCGGTCCAAACCCCGAGGCCCAGCCCTCACACAGCGGGAACCCCCCAACCAGGGAATGGAGTTTGGTTTGGGGCCGGCTGGGGGCTGGGAGGACGGGAAGGCGTGTCCCGGCGAACTGAGCCGAGGCGCAGCTCCCACTTCCTGTAAAGCCAATAGAGCGCGAAAGGAATGCCCTAGAAGCGAGGGCGCACCCGATAAAGAAGTATGTACTTAACTCTGCTGCAATCCTGGAACACAGAGGTCTGGGGCAGCCCCGACAAGAGCAAACCAACTCCTACCCCGGCCTCCCCTTCCCCGCCTCCCTTCAAGTCGTCCAATTCTCTTTCGCTTCCTCCGGGTTGCTCCGGAGGCACGTGGTCCCTCCCCGCCCTGCCCCCGCCGCGCCCCTCCCAGCCTTCCAGTCCTCCGGCCCTCCCTCCCGGCGCCGCTCTCTTCCCCTTTCCGTTTTCTCTTCCGCCCCCGCTCTCCATCGTCCTTTTTGATTGGTCGAGCGCACGGGAGCCTGGCTGACCAATCGGCGAGCTGGGCTGGCGGTGATGGGCGTGGCCGCGACTCCGGGGCCCTCAGATCGAGGCTGCCTCCCCCTCTCAGCCGGCAGCACATTCCGCCGCCGTTGCCGCCGCCCGGCCCCGCAGTTGTCTTCTCTGGAGCTGCCGTCGCGCTGGGGTTAGGGCGGGGGGGGGGGCGGGCGGGGAGAGGAGGAGAAGGCCAAGGCGGAGGCAGGTGAGAGGAGGAAGGAAGCGGCGGCCCGGCGAGCATTGCAGCTCAGGCGGCGGCCCGGTTCCTGGGAGTGTCGGTGCGGCGTGGTGGTTGGGGCGGATCCCGCGGGGCCCGGGCGGGGGAAGGAGTCACCGGCCCGGCCATGGCGGACAACGAGAAACTGGACAACCAACGGCTCAAGAATTTCAAGAACAAAGGCCGCGACTTGGAGGTAAACTCGGGGGCGCCGGAGGGGTGGGGGCTTTGGGCCTCGGGCCGATCTCCGCCGGGACTCCCAGTGTGGGGAGTAGGGGCGGGTGCCGCCGCCGGGCCGCGGGGGAATGGCGCTGGGGGCCGGCCCGTCCGTGACGCCTCTGTGAACGCGCCGGGAAGTTTGTGTCGGGCCTGGTCCACCTCCGCCGGGGAGCGAGGTGCTGGGGTACGGCCGGCGCGGCCTAGGCCTGCCGGGGGGAGCCGGCCCGACGCGGGTGCGAGGGGCTGGGCCGCGCGGCAGGGAGGCCGGGCGCGGCGAGTGCGGAGGAGGCGTGCGTGTGCCGCGCCGCTTCGGCCGGGCTGCGGCCCCAGCCCCGGCAGCGGCGGAGATCCCGGCTCTCCCCCGGGCCCCGACGTCTAGCGCCGCGAAAAGGAGGGCGGTGGGAGGTGGGGGGACAAGTGTGTGGCGACCGAGTGGGGCTCGGAACTTCCCCTGCGGGGTCCGCGTCTCCACTTAAAGGCATTTTTTCTGGTCTTCCCGACTCCCGCTTTACCCCTGCCTCCCCCCAATATCCAAACTACAGGAGTCAACTTCTCCGTTGAAAAAAACACCCCCGGCGTGAGAGGCCATCCTGGTGATGCTAACAGTGCCTTCCAGCGGCCTGTGTTTTACTCTGGATATAGCTGATTCAAGATGTGGCTCACGGTGTGCCCTCTTCCAGGCAAAGAATACCCCTTATTTCAGCTTGCTCACAAATCTCTTTATCCCCTCCTGAGAGACCACCAGCTGCATTCTTATATATAAAGTCCACAGGGTTATACAAAGCTGTCATCCTCTAGTCTACAGTATCCTTTCCCTCCACCTGCTGGTGGTGGTAGTGGGGGGATGGGGTGGGTTATGGAATGGCACCATAACGTTTTATTATTTTAAAAGGGCGAAAAAAAAAACCCACCCTTCATTATCTTCGATACAGCTGCTCCTGAGGTTGTTAGGCTACATGAAGTGTGAGGGTGAAATCATACACACACAACACAGATTTTCGATAGAAGACTTCGCTTTAGTTTTAAGAGTCTAAGTAAATCGAGGTGGGTTTTTTTTTTTTAAATAGTTCAATCCTGCGTCTGAATCAGGAATTTAGCTTTGAAAAGAAAGTGAAGTATTTTTTATGTTGTTCCTCAGTACTTTTTTATACTGAGATCTTCAAATTCCCATCACCTGTTTCTGAACTGTGAGCATTTGCTTGACTGAGATAGTAACTATTTTCTGGGCTTTTCACAAAGCCATTCAGTCTCTAAAGTAGTTGGTGCTGTTTTTAGTCGTTTTCATAGTTTGAGGAGCTGTGACTGTGGCTCTTCATTCTGTGAGTGTTTTAAGGTTAACGTGAGACATTATCCTGTGATCCCTTTTTTTAAATGAAAATTTTTAACATCTTTATTGAGGTAATTCATATGCTATAGTAATCACCATTTTAAGTGTCCAGTTTGTGATTTTCTTATTGTTTACCTCGTTGTGTAATCATGTGAAGGAAATTTTTTTTACTAATACCAGTATTTAGAACGAAAAAAAATTACAGAATTTAAAAGTATAAATACCACTAGTGACAGAATCCAAAAAAATAGCAATTAGATGCTTGACAGGTTCTAATCCTTTCCCCTCTACATTTCTGGCAATTTTTTTTTAAACAACCTCATTGAAATGTAATTCATATACCACACCATTCACTTATTTAAAGTGGTTTTTGGTGTTTTCACATAATTGTGCAACCATTAGCACAATCAATCTTAGAACATTTTTATCGCTACAAAAAGAAATTCTAACTCATGAGCAATCTCTATTTCCCAGTTACTCTCTGTGTCTCTAGATTTGTCTATTTTGGACATTTCCTGTAAATGGAGTTATACAGTATGTGATCTTTTGTGAGTGGCTGCTTTTAGGTAGCATAATGCTTTCAAAGTTCACACATGTAACGAAAATGTAACAGTGCTTCCTTCCTTTTAGTGGCTGAATAATTGCTAAATAATATTCCAAACTATGGATATATCACATTTTGTTTATCCATTCATCAGTGGATGGCCATTTGCATTGTTTCCACTTTGTAGCTATTATTCATAACGCTGCTATGAACATTTACTTACACATTTTGTGAGGAACTGTGTTTTCATTTCTTTTGGTTATATACTGAGGAGTGGAATTAATTGGATCATAGGGTGACTTTATGTGTAACCTTTCTTGGGATTGCCAAAATGTTTAAAGTGACTTTTTTTTTGTTTGTTTGTTTTGGTAAATTGATGTTTCCTCTTATCGTGAATCTCTTATTTAGTCAGATTGTGCTGTCTCTATTCAAACAATATTATGAGTGATTTTTAAAAGTAACCATAAATAGGAGCACCTGGATGGCTCAGTTAGTTGAGCATCCAACTCTTGTTTTTGGCTCAAGTCACAGTCCCAGGCTCGTGGGATCAAACCCCACATTGGGCTCCTTGCTGAGTGTGGAGCCTCCTTGAGAATCCCTCTCTTTCTCTCTCTCTCTCTCTCTCTCTCTCTCTCTCTCTCTCTCTCTTTTTCTTCCTCCCCTCTCCCTCCCTTCCATGCTCTCTTTCTGAAATAAAAAATTTTTTTAAATAAATGTAAATTAACCAAATATTTTTGAGAAGTTTATAGTGCCTTAAATGCATCCTTTGGTAACTTTAATAACCATGTGTGTACAAAAGGAAAGTGATATTTTCACTTTTCCACCTAAGGAAATGACATTAATGGAAAATCATACTTTCTCCTCACTTCTTTAGTCACATCACCTGTAGTGAGATAGAAACATCTTTTATTATCCTTGGAGAACACTAGAATGGCCTGTTTTGTGTATTTATTAATTACATATATGTCTGTGCCTCAGAACAATTACTATGCCCATAATCTTCCCCTACAAATTGGTTACTATGTTTTGCTACAATGGTTTCTAAGAAAATACTGCTTTTTGGTTTAGGTCTTAATGATGCCATCTGTTTCACTGGGAGGTTTTTAATGAAGAAGTATAGACCAGTGCTAGTCAATACATTTTGTTTAATCCAGTACATCCAGAATACCAATATAACATCAGCAATGTAAAAAAATATTGAGATATTTTATATTCTCTTTATCCAGAGTCTTCAAAATCTGGTTTGTATTTTACATTTAAAGCATATCTCAGTTTGGACTAGCTACATTTCAGATGCTTAATAACCACATGAGGCTATTGGCTGTCTTATTGGACAGCACAGAAATAGAATAGCATATAGAATGAGATAATTGTACCATTTTTCAGTTTGATCTAACATTGTTTGATTTGAAATTAATAGGGTACAAAGTTTTAGAGTTTAGTGCAATCTCATATTCTGTAAATTTGTGTGTGACCTTGAGAGAGTCAGGTTTATGAGTCTCTCATCTGTAAAACTAGAGGTTCCTAACATCTGCTTCATGAGTGTTGTGAAAATTAATGGGTTAATGTTAGGAAGATGCCTAGCAGTTCTCTGAGCATTTTATCTCTTTTAGCTGTTCTGCTAGGGGGTTAGGGTGACTTAATAGGATTCATTGTAATTGATTCTTTTATTCCCTAGTTTGCAGTTGGCTCTTTGTTTTTCCTCCGTGTCCATACAGAATTTAAGTTACATTGAACTTATAATTAACAGGGAAAGTTTTTAAGGTAGAGATCTGTAATTGCTCATTGAAGGGCAGTTTGGCCACAGGGAATTATTGACCCTTCTAAAGTCATAATTTCTAAGTTTTAGAAGTTGAAACTGATTTAGAGATTTAAATACGACACTGATTCTTACCTTTCATCCTACCATTCTGGCTGTTCCAAAATGTGGTCATGCTAACTTCTTGAAACACAAAAGCATTAAAGAAAGCATATGTCAGTATCCATGTAAAATAATTTATAGGAATCTCAGGTAATATTCAAGACTCAGATGCTTTCTTGCAGTGTGGCAAAGGATCATCATTATTAGTTTAAGAAAAGTAACCATAGAAAGAGTACACTGAATGCAACACAGGAAATGTGTAGTGACCAAATTTCAAATAAAGTATATGTCAAAATATAGCAAATTAAGCTCATCTAGTTTAGGTTTTAAAAGTAGAGGGTCGACTCTTTTGTAGACTTTCCAATAAATCTGCATGATTTTTATACAAGTTCTGAGAGTATCCAGGGCCTAATAGAGCATAAATTCTGTTAGAAAATAATTAGATCTTATAAAAACACAATTAAAAAAACCCTAAATATTAAAGAATAATAAAATGTTATGTGATTGTAAACTTGTGATTGTCCACACAACATAAAGTATGAAGTCAGCTTGAACTTTAGAAATAAATAGTTGTTTGGTTGGCAAGAGTTTAATAAATTGATCAGCTATTTTGTTGTTGTTAAATGGCTTTGGTAGTTTGTAACTGTACAGAGTGAA